TTCTTCTTCTTCTTCTTCTTCTTCTTCTTCTTCTTCTTCTTCTTCTTCTTCTTCTTCTTCTTCGACGTCGTCGTCGTAGTCGTCGCCCAACCCTCCTCCTCCTCCTCCTCCTCCTCCTCCTCCTCCTCCTCCTCCCTATCCGGATCTAACGATCATTTCGTCAAAATGGACATTTTTTATTTTTTAAACGAAATTGAAACTGAGTTTTTTAGCCGAAAACTCGTCAAAATTTGTTGTTCCTTAGGTCCAGCATTTTACAAACGCTGGACCCCCTGGCTGTACATGGACCTAACTTGAGACCAGGCACCTCCAGGCAGGACTGCCTGGAGGTACCTAGTCTCAAGCTAGGTCCATGTACAGCCAGGGGGTCCAACGTTTTACAAACGCCGGACCCTCAGGAACAACAAATTTGGATGAGTTTTCGGCCGAAAAACTTGGTTTCAATTTCGTTCAAAAAATAAAAGATGTCCATTTTGACGAAATGGCAGTTATCTCGACTTCCCCCTTCGTCGCTCTCCCCTCCTCCTCCTCCTCCTCCTCCTCCTCCTCCTCCTCCTCCTCTTCTTTTTCTTCTTCTTCTTCTTCTTCTTCTTCTTCTTCTTCTTCTTCTTCTTCTTCTTTGACGTCGTCGTCGTTGCCTAACCGTCCTCCTCCTCCTCGCCGTCCTCCTCCTCCTCCCTATCCGGATCCCGACTTCCCCCTTCGTCGCCCTCCCCTCCTCCTCCTCTTCTTCTTCTTCTTCTTCTTCTTCTTCTTCTTCTTCTTCTTCTTCTGTCTACCTGTCTGTCTGTTTTTTTGGCTCTCTGTCTGCCTGTCGTTTTGTCTATCTGTCTGTCTTGCTGTCTGTTTGTCTGTGTCTGTTTGTCTGTCTGTCTGTCTGTCTTTCTATTTGTCTGTCTTGTTGTCTGTCTTGTTGTCTGTCTATCTGTCTGTCTTTCTGTCAGTTTGTCTGTGCCTGCGTGTCTGTTTGTCTGTTTGTCTTTCTGTCTATCTATCTGTCTGTTTGTCTGTCAGCAGCAGTTCCCACGTCAGCAGCTGGCACATCAACACTTGCCACGTCAGCAGCTGGCACATTTGCAGTTGTCACGTCAGCAGGTGCCACTTCAACAGTTGTCGCATTAGCAGCTGGCACAACAACAGCTACCACATCAACACCTGCCACATCAGCTGGTGTCTGGTCAGCAGCTGCCACGTCAGCAGCTGGCACATCAACACCTGCCACGTCAGTAGCTGGCACCTCAACAGTCGGGACACCTGTGGAACCATGGCCAGCAGCAACACAGCCGGTGGAAGGGGTGGAGCAGCATCAGCTGCCCCCTTCCAGGAGGACACGAACTACAGAGGCAAGCACGTGGTGTGGACTTGGGTGACTGCCAGTCAACTTCTGCCGAGGAACTCTCGTGGAGGCAGAAGGCTGAAGTGCAAGTTGTGTGGCCTTGAGTACACAGGGACACAAAACAAGGCCGGCGAGCACTTCTATAAGAAGAGGCCATCGTCCAGGTGCCCGCATGCCACCCTTGCGCTCTGGAGAAGATTGCATAAGGCTGGCGCTGAGTTCCCGACGGACACTCAGGAGAGGGTGCAGCGGGCGATGGAGGAGAATCCCAGCGACGAGGATGATGCCTCTGCGGTGGAGAATATTGTAGGAGGAGGAAGGGGAGGAGGCTCCATCGGACCATCGGTGGGGAGGGTGAGGAGGCGGCCGATGGCCATCCTGTTGATGGTGGCGACGACCGCACGAGGGGGGGTGTGACGGGTGAAGGCACAACTGTCGGGACACCTGCTTCCTCGCAGACATCGCGGCAGACGGGACGCACGCCTGTGCAGGCCAGGCAGACGAGCATCATCAAGTATGGAAAGAACCCAAGGCAGCAGGACATTGATGACTCATGTTGCGAGTACTTTGTAGAGAACGTCATCCCGTTCAACGCCAAAAGCAAGAGCTTCAAAAAGTTCACTTTGGCGTGCTACGGGTTGCAGCCGTCGGCGAAGCACCCCCTTGTGCCCACTGGGTACAACCCGCTCAGATGCCGACTCCTTGATCGGTTGCACAAGAGGTTGGAGGATGAGGAGCCGGCGATCCGGCCAGTATGAGAAGTTACAGGGTGCACATTCATAATTGATGACACCACAGACATCTGTGGACGATCACTAATGAACTACATCCTCGCAGGGCGGTCAAAGTCGGTCTTCATCAAGTGCGAGGATGTGAGTGACGGGGAGAAGGACTTGGCCGCAGTCGTCGCAGGTTGGAAGAGGTTCTTCAGGGAGTGGGGGGTGGAGAAAATCACTACGATCTGCACAGACTCCTTCGCAGGGAATACGAGTGTTGCCAAGATGTTGAGGGAGGATCCTGAGTTTCAGCAGATCTACTAGATCCTACGTGTCTATTCAACGGGCAACGGGAAAGTTTCAACTCCGTTGTACCAGTTGAATAGCCCCCGGGGCCCCGTTGAATTCCCGTTGAATGGTACAACGGGCCCTCCCCGTTGAATATTGTTCAACGGGGAGGGTGCATTGGGCCTCGGACATGACGCTGAACGCACGTGAACCAAAAAAAAAATCGTCCCGTTGAATCCCGTTGAATCCCCGTTGAATCCCGTTGGAAAAAAAAACGGACATCGTCCAAACATTCCGGAAAAAAACTATGTTATGCAGAAACATAAACTGAACAACTTTTGCCTCAGGGTCACATTGAAAATCTTCACCAAATTGAAACTAAAAAATAAAATATAAAAATAAGTTATTTATTTATTTATTTATTTATTTATTTATTTATTTATTTATTTATTTATTTATTTATTTACGTGTGTGTGTGTGCGTGTGTGTGTGTGTGTGCGTGTGTGTGTGTGTGTGTGTGTGTGT